ACGTGCAATTTGCCCTAGACATTCAGGTTCAGTAGCTCAGATGAAGAGGCAGGGATGAATGATTATTTATCAAGTATTTCCTTTTTATTCTGGAAACATTTATCATGAAATTGTCCCTGCTATCCAAGGCAAACTTCATTTATATGTCTTGACTGAAAATGGAAGGAATCGAGATTGAGAGAATGAGTAGCTAGGCCCAGAGTAAGCCATTTTTCTGGAGAAGGGACTGGCAACCCTCTCCAGTATTCTTGCCATGAACAAAGGAGCCTGATGAGCTATAGTCCATGGGGACGCAAAGAGTCAGGTATGGCTTAGTGACTAAACCACCACCACCGCCAAGCTATTTATGAGATTCTAAGTGGCATGTATAGTATTAACAACCATGTATAAATGTGAACAAAAGCAGCTAACATTTATTAAGCTCTTACTTATTTCCAGACACTGTGCTAGCATGCTATACACGTTCACACTTGGTTCTTATAACCGCTACTGCTGCTGCTGCTAAGTCGCTTCAGTCGTGTCCGACTCTGTGCAACCCCATGGCCTGCAGCCCACCAGGCTCCTCCGTCCATGGGATTTTCCAGGCAAGAGTACTGGAGTGGGGTGCCATTTCCTTCTCTGTTCTTATAACTAAGAGAGATCAATTCTATCATCTTCATTATACGGATGGAGAACCAGGGATCAGAGGGGTTAAGCCCACGGTTACACAAGTTTACCAACTCCAGAACCTAAGCTGCGGTTCACAGCCTCTCACACGCTGTTTCAGCCTTGTCATATCACCTTTATGTAAGGTGGGGCCAGTATATCCAGAGTTCAGTCCCCAGTTACCTTTGCACAAAGAAACGGTTCTCCTTTAGAAAAGCTTTTTTATCTCAGAGCTTGAGATTGTTTGCATCACAGATTGGGTTGAAAATGAACCAAAGGCAGCAATAGAGGGTGGATAAATATTTTGAGTTTGGACTGGACAGCTTTTGAAAATGATGCCATGGATGCATATATAATGATTCACAAAGGAAACTGTGATCTATGTTAAGAAAACACATTATAACTGAAAGAAAAAAAATAAGGTAGAGAGTATTTCAGGGAGGGGAAAGGGCAGATGTCAAGTGTCTAGGGTGGAGAACCCTTGGCAGATTCAAGATACTTTAAAAAACTACACGCTTATGTGCTACATTTGGGGGAGTGACACTACTCCATGTCAGGCTTGTTGTGATACAATAGGAACACAAGGATGAATATAGCAGATTCTGTCCATGGACGGAGCTTAGTGGTAAAGATAAATGATATGATAAAGATATAAACAAGAATGCCTTAAGGGCAGAAGAAGCAGTGAAAGCAGCATAAAGGAGCTCATATTCAAGTTGAGTGTAGAAGGTGAGAGTCTGATAAAACTGTGTTTGTCTGTTTCTCTGTAGGTGTGTGTGTGTGTGTATATATACATGTATATATATATATATATATGCATATAACAGAGAGATGATATTTTATCTATGTTTTATATCTACATCTGTATCTGTACATGTGTCTATACGTCTGTATCTATCTACTATCAATCCACCCATCCATCCATCCATCTAAAGTGACCACAATCTGAAGTACTTGTCACCGTGCAGTGATGCATCTGCCCAGTCGTGTGCGGACACATTGTGACCCACCACTGCCCATGAGAAGATAACCAGGTGCACACAAGACCCGCAGGGAGGGTCCCCAATGTCTGCAGATGTGACGGGAAACACACTGAGCTATTTGTCATCCTTTAATTAGACTCATGTGGGTCCTGCCATTTTCTTTGGGTCATTTCAGCATTTCTAGTGAGATTGTTATATATTTTTGTGCTTACGTGTATATTCATAATCTCTAATGATAGATAGATAGATGATAGATAGACTCACATGCCACAGATACGTGTTTGAAAATTGAACAAAACTCTCTTGTCAATATAGGTAGAAGTACTTAAAGTCATTTCCAAGTGTTCCTTTTTTTTTATGTTATGATGGAAACAATGGAAGACCATAATAGTGTTGCCAAATTTAATTCAGATGGAAAATAAAATGAGAAATGTTGAGCACCTCCCTTGGCTAGCTTGGTGCTGGTAAGACCAGGATGACTGAGTGGCCCCACATTCCCTAGCAGGTGCTTCACTGGGGAAACCAACTGACCAGGAGGTGGTTTCACTCACAGTGGAAATCACCATGAGCAAAGAGTCGGTGGGAGGACCTTCAAAGCAGAGGAAACAGAGAATGCAAATATAAATATTGTGTTTGGGGCACTGATAGGAGATTAAAGAAAGAGGCAACACGATATAAAGGAAGGAATTCTGTCATTTATTGACCACATAATTTTTGGCAATTTGCTTAACCCTCCCCATGCCTCAATTTCTTCATTTTTAATAGTGAGAATATTTGTTCTATTTATCTCATAGTTTGAGAAAAAGTTGTGAGATAATGCATATGTAAACTATTTGAAAACAAATCATATGTTAATAAGCAATACCAACTATTGTAGTGGCTTAGTTGCTTAGTTGTGTCTGACTCTTTGCAACCTCATAGACTATAGCCCACCAGGCTCCTCTGTCCGTGGGATTTCCAAGGCAAGAATACTGGAGTGGGTTGCCATTTCCTTCTCCAGGGGATCTTCCCAACCCAGGGATCAAACCCAAATCTCCTGTAGTACAGGTGGATTCTTTACCACTGAGCCACCTGGGAAGCCCTAATACCTACTATTACATATTATGCATTAATAATGATGCCATGATTGAAAACAGAAAAAGCTTTCCTTTCTCCCACTTTACGTCCTGGGTTTCCTGTCTTGCTGGCAACCCTCACCCTTCACGCTGTCCTTGAGTTTCCTCCCTTGTGGAAAGTGACGGAGGACAGTGTGGGCCTGCAGAGGGTGTAGGGGGCTTGGTGAAACGTTGGGGTCAACCTCCAGGATCCCACTCCAGGAAGCTCCCTCCTACTGGGGGACGCTGTCCATGCACTTGGGAAAAGAGGATATCCCCCAAATATCTGTAGAATTTTACAAATATCTCCTAACCCAGGACCTTTTAAACTACCAGACAAACACATATGGAACTAGTAGCTCTGAGCTGGGGGCTGTACTGAGCGAACCATCCCTGGACATCACAGCTTCAATGTCCTAAATCATCCTCCATTGATCAGCTATGCCCCCCACCCTCCCGCCTCAGCTGTGTCCACCTTACAATAAGTGAGATGCTTGGGTCTCGAGAAAGAGAGCTTCAGACAGCCTAACCCATCCAGATAAGCAGACCTTATTCTGAGAATATTCTGGAAAGTGCACTGAAATTGTTGCTTTATAAAAGGAGGAAAAAGTATTGATATTTCTAAGCCAGGAATGATTTTTTAACAAGCTGGAAAATACTGAAAAACAAGTAGTATGGTTTTCTCAAGAGAGTGCAGTCTAGTTAGAAAGTACACTATTCTTTCCCAGTGTGTGTTTTGGTAAAATATGTGCAATGAAATTTCAGGCCAATTCCTAATGCAGAAATAATCCAAAATGTGGCAGATTTATAAGCCGGGTACATTTTATTTATTTGCTAACGTGGATTCCCTTATGATGGCAAGTGTTCTCCATGTTACTTATGGCTTCTCCTTGAAAAAGACTTACCTCCATGGTCTCAGCAGCATAAAACTCCAGGCTGCAGGGTTTTCTGGATCAAGGATCAGCTGTAATTCTCTTCCACCCACTGACCCAGGTGGTTTGGAATCTCCTAGGACTCTACCTGTTTTCTAATTTATAATTAAACTGGCAGTTGGAATAAATCAGCATACCTATACGCTTGGAGCTCCTCTCTCTGCCGACCTTTCTTTTATTTTGAGAATCTGAAAGAAAATTGAGAAGAAAGCTTTCAGTATCAGAAATCCTCCATTAGAAGCTTTGCCCCACCCCTCTTAGTTCTCAGATTTGTTCAATGGGTTTTTGGATCTTTCTTTCAAAGAGGAATTAAGCAGGTGCCCACCTCAACCTTGTGCCAGATGCTGCGGAATAGAGGTGGATGTCATTCCATCCTTATCTTCCAGCACCTCACTCTCTAGGTAAAGAGACAGGCATAGACATGGGTGGGGTGGGGGTGGAGAAGGAAAGAGTTGGATGAATTGGAAGATGAAGATTGACATGAATGCACGACCGTGTGTAAAACAGAGAGCCAGTGGGAAGCTGATGTATAGCACAGGGAGTTGAGCTCAGCTCTGTGATGACCTAGAGGGGTGGGATGGGGGAGGGGGTGGCAGGGAGACTCAAGAGGGAGGGGAAATATACACATGGCCGATTCACATTGCTGTCGAGCAGAAAGTAACACAACATTGCAAAGCAATTACACTCCCATTAAAAATGTGTTTACATATATTTTAAAAAATAAACTGAGAATAAAAGAGAGTGAGACAGGTGTAAAATAATCAACTGTAAGGACAACACATCCAGTTCCTTTGCTAGGGGAGGTGGGGGATTCTCTTTTCAGGATTTGGGAAGAAGTGAGGGAAAACTGCAAAGGGGAAGTGACCTTTGATGTCCCTTGAAAGATGAGCTGTGTGTTTTCAGACAGGAAGAGAAGAGGAAAAGGGAAGGGGCGAGTACAGAGGGAAGTGTGCTGAGCTTGTTGCACGCAGGTGAAGAGGAACTCTTAAAAGCACTTTGCATTTTCCCTTTGGTTCTACTTTTCCATCCACCATCAGTAATGCCTGTCTCTTCAGTTACTGCTTCCCCAGAACACCACCCTCGCACACACACACACACACACACACACACGCCTCCTGCTATGACCAGACCTTATACAGAACTGCTTCCAGGAGTGCCCTGTACATGTTGTGTTAATGGTCACATTCCTTGCTGAATCAAGCGTAATAAACTGAAATAAACTAAAATTATGATTGAAAAGAATATCCATCATCAAAACATGCTATTTGAATACGTGTGAGGCTGATGCCTCCTCTTCTGCAGAGAATCTTTCTCATACGTGTCTCTTCTCCTCTGTCTCTTTCCAGTCCCTCCCCAGATCATGAACATCTCCTCAGATGTCACCGTGAACGAGGGGAGCAGCGTGACCCTGCTGTGTCTCGCTATCGGCAGACCAGAGCCAACGGTGACGTGGAGACACCTGTCAGTCAAGGGTAAGGCATTTCCCTGGAGGAAGCTTTCAGAGTTGGTAGAGTGAAGCCTTGCTTCTAATGCACAACAGGACTTGAGGAGTCAGAAAACAATGCTGTATTTGTAGCCTCGTGATGGAAGAGCAAACAGACCACATGCATCTGTCACTGGAATTCTGAAGGATTTATAGAGAACATTTACTGAATCATTTCCCCAGGCCCTTTCATGACCTTCCTTAGAAGCTTTTTGTTTTCCCAACTATGAAGGGCAGAGGTACCATGAGAGTATCTTACAACAGAGACACTGATATCTCAAGGTGGAGATGCATGCATCAGAGGGTGGCCTGTCCTTTCTTGAAGTAGAGTGCCAGAAAGCTAGAAAGTGCACTAAAAATATTGGTGTTTTTTGTACATCCAGGAGAGAAAAGATCTCCTCCTCAGTGTTCTCAGAACATTTACCCAGAGTGGTAGAAAGGTGATAGGGAGGGTTAAGTACTCTTGTGCCTGCTGTGCTGGGAACTCGGTGATTGGTATTAAGACTTCAGCTGTGGTCATCGCCAACTTAATAGGGAGGAAACCTGAAGAACAGCAGATCTTATCCTCTTGGAAATAAAACTTACTCCGAGGTGAACTTGAAGAGATGGGCAAAGAGCCACTTGGTGTATTTACCCTGTTAACAGAAACTATGATAAATTCTATAAATTATATAAGAAACAAGTGCTCTCTCAGGCATTAGAAAATCTAAACGTGAAACCCAGTGAAAAGGAAAATGTGTGGAGTGTGCCTGTGTGTGATATAAAAATAATATAAATCTAGAGGAAAACCTAAGAATAAATCTTGGGAATGTTGAACTAGACAAGGACTTGCTAGGTCACTAAAAGCTCTAAGCGTAAGAGAAAAATGATAAATGTGTTTTGTATTATTTTTCTGTGGTTCCCATAACGAAGTACTGCAGACCTCACTGCTTAAACAACGGAAATGTATTTCCTTGTAGTTCTGGGGGCGGGATGCCTGTGATCAGGGTGTAGGCAGGTTTGTCCCTTTTGAGACCTGGGAGGGGAGGTCTGTCTATGCCTCTCCTTGAGCTTCTAGTCCTTTTCTGGCATCTTGGGTATTTCCCGGCTTGTAGGTGCATCACCATCCCTGCTGGCATCTTCCTGTGTGCATCTTCCTGGGTCAGTTTTCCCCCTGTTATGGGAACATCAAACAGACTGGATTGGGGTTGTTCTTGTATGACCTCATACAATCTTAATTGGGCTTTCCTGGTGGATCAGAAGTAAACAATCCACCTGCAATGCAGGAGAAGTGGGTTTGATCCTTGGGTTGGGAAGATCCCTTGGAGGAGGGAATGGCAACCTACTCCATCCAGTGTTCTTGCCTGGAGAATCCCACGGAAGGAAAAGTCTGTGGATTTGCAAACAGTTGGACATGACTGAGTGACTGAACAATAAATTATCTTAATTACCTCTGTAAATTCCCTATTTCCAAATAAGGTCAATTTCTGAACCATTGGGACTAGGTATTGTATTTTTGTTTTTGTTTTTTGGTGGGAGTGGGGATGAAATTCAGCTCATAACTGGGTTCATCAAAATTAAAAGCACCATTTTGTAAACAAAAAGACAAGTCAAAGACTAGGTGAAAACCTTTGCCATACACATATCTGACAAAGATTTTACATCTACACTATGTGAAGAATTCTGATAATGCTAACAAATTACCTTGAAGTGAACAAAACACTGAAACAGACAATTCACAAAAGAAGATACATGAATAGAATAAGCCCATGAAAATATGCTAAATGTGTGTCTTAGAAATTAAAATTAAACCATAATGGAACTGCACTACACAAATACTACAATGACAAAAATTAAAAAGACTGACCATATCAAGTGTTGGTGGGGTTGCAGAGCAACTGAACTCTTATACATTGACTTGGGGACTGTGAAATGGTATTGCTACCTAACTCAGGTTTGGCTGCTCACCTCCAAAAGCCAGTAATTTGAGAGGCAAGCATCAGTAGAAAGGAAAGGCGCTTTAATCAGAAAAGCCAGCCAGCTGGGGAAATGTTGGGCTCATGCCCAGAGACCAACTCTGAGGGTTCTGTGGGCTAGGAGAAGCAGTGAGTCTTCAGGGTGGGAGTCTGGGTCCTACATCTCCATTGCGTATGGACTGGCTGACTCTCTTCATTCGTCTTGCCTCTGAGTGATCTGCCTGCAGGACTGCTTGAAGGCGGAAGGCAGGGATCTTAGAGGCAGAGAGTTGGTCTTACTTCTTTTCATCTAGGAGAAGAATCAGCAGGTTAGAGGAGGCATGGTTTACATTCAGGAGAGCACAGGTCCCGAGTTAGGTTAAACTGCCTGATGATCTCATTCCTATAATTAGGTTCTTTTAAGGTTACAGGAAACAAAAATGGGCAAACAGGAAAGAGACTAAACAGCTGCATTCTCCATAGTATCAACGCTATGAAGAACAGTTTGCACCTTGCTATAAAGTTAAACATACACTTAGCATATGACCCAGCAATTCCACTTCTAGGGATTCACCAAAGATAAATGAAAACCTATGTCCACAGATATGCATTGTACACAAATGTTCATAGCAGCTTTATTTGTAATAGCCTCAAACTAGAAGCCAGAACCCTCAACAGGTAAAAGAGCTAAATCGTAGTAAATTTAAGCAGCAGATGGCTTCTCAGCAATTAAAAGGAACAAACCATTGATACATGTAAGAAAATGGATGAGTCTCAAAAGCATTATGCTAAAGAAAAGAAGCAAAAACTTAGACACTGATGTCATACATATGAAATTCTATAACAGGCAAAAATTAATCTAGAGTGACTGAAATCAAGTCAATGGTTATGTAGGGTAGGGGTTTTGGATAATTATCTACAAAGGGATACAAGGGGCTTTTTGGGGGGTGGTGGAAATCTTGAGCAGGGTGTTGTTGTTGCTGCTTAAATTAGTGAAAATTAATGCTACACTAAAAATTAGTGCATTTTGTTGTATGTGAATTAAATCCCAATAAAACTTAAAAACTAAACACATATAGATATAGGAAATAATGACCCGAAGGTGCCCCCCTAGTTTGGAACATTAACTATGCGAGAAGCACTTATAAGTGGACACTGGATTTTTTACCAGGATCGTTGTTCAAAATTTCACCATCTAATGTTCTCCATGTGCATTGAGAACACATATTTCAGTGCTTGCCTTGTTATAGGGAAAGATAATGATAATAAATCCCCAGACACCCTTTGTGTAAAGACCTCAGATATTGAAATCCAAAATGTCAATATTGTAAAGTAATATTAACAAGAATATTAAAGGAATCATAAGGGGTATCAGGAAGCTCAACTTTAATATAAACACAGTGGTAGCTTGTGTTCCCAAAGATACAGGCCCCATGGAAATTTTGCTTTAAGTCAGAGCGAGTTTTTATTTACGTTATATACAAAAATATGTCTAACCATCAGACCAGCTTCTATGTATTTGGTAAAATCACATGTCTTTATAAGTGCTTGAAATCCCAAAATGCATTTATTTGGTCCTAAACACACAGTTCTCTCAGCCTAGGAGTCTCTCGAAAGGCACTTTGATTTTATGGAAATGTTTTAAAGCAATTCTTTATAATGGTTTTGTGGTAAAGTTTGTTTCCCTCTTAAAATACCGAAGATTCATCCACATTCTTAATCTTTTATATAACACAGTATTTGGAATTCAGCCTCAAAAAAAAAAAATATTAAATTTACATTTTCTCTCTTGCCTTTAAGTCTCCCAGCCCATGTTCAACTTTCAAATTCCTTTTTGTCTTTCCCTCGCTCTGGCCTTCACTTTACTGTCTCTTTTTCTATTCTCTCCCCCATTCCAATGACGTTTCAACGTATAAACTCAATGCATTGTTTCCAGAGTTTGACAAGCACTAGAACCTGGGAGATTTGCACATTTCAAATTTGCACCTGCAGGTGACCACCAATATTTACTTTTAGAAGGACACTCTTTCTTACTTGGAGTTAAGGCGACTTTGGGAAGTTGTTTGTAAAGGTTTAGAAGAGCAGCTGATACAACTTGAACATCAAATACCATTTTTAGAACAACTGACTGTTTAGTTCAGCCAGCAAGAGTATGAAATAGAAGTTGTAATGGCATTTCCTTTGAAATTCCAACAAAATCGCATCAGAGAACGTAGATAACTGGCAGCTATGTTCCGAAATGTTAATGCAATGTTTGAAAATGATTGTTTAAATTTGGGTACTGTATACAAGAATGAATAACCAAGCTCCATTAAGAAAAAGAATATTTTAATGACCAGATTATTAAGAATTGTGGTTATGGTTTAAGATGACAGACTAAGCACATGCCAATCTCAAGAAACTATAGAAGAAAAGGTAAAGGTGAATAAATTCATGATCACGCTAGAGAATAGGAAGCATTTGTGGATCTGAAACTGTGAGGAATCTCTGAAATATAAAAAGTGCATAGGTACTTCCCTGGAAGTCCAGTGGTTAAGACTTTGCTTCCACTGCAGAGGACATGGGTTCCATCCCTGGTCAGGGAGCTAAGATCCTGCATACCTCATGGCCAAAAAACCAAAACGTAAAACAGAAGCAATATTGTAAAAATCCAATAATGACTTTAAAAAATGTTCCACATACAAAAATAAAAATCTTAAAAAAAATTACATAGACACAATGAACAAAAATTTCAGCTCAAAACACAGGAATATGATCTATGCCTGAAATGATAGCTGAAAAAGGCAGAGTTTTAGGTCATACTGCTGGTAAATGTTAAAAATTGACTGGGGCTTAGGGTGGGCAGGGAAGGAAGTCCTGGTGGCATTTGCCAGTTTCCATGATGTCAGTGTACCCATCATTGCCACTTTCCTTGGAGCCCCTTTAAAGTAACTTGATTTTTTAGGTATTTTTAGGTTTTATTTCTGAATTTTAGGTTTTTGTATTTTAGATTTTTATTTTAGGTACTTATTGGATTTATTTTAGGTATTTATTGGATTTACTAGAGAATGTGGCA